ATATTTGTCTAGTATTCAAGCTGAAACTACTTTTAACATTTTTCATACAAACATTCGTGGGGTTTTACACAATTTTGAGGAGTTTGAGGTATTAATACAAAATTTAAATAATTCTTTTGACATTACGGCCATTCCAAGCCCATGGACAGGACACATCAGAAACATGTCTAAATATATTCTTGTTACTTCCTTAAGTTTACTTATTTTTTCTACGAGTATTTATGAGAAGTATTAGCCAATTTTGGCTAATACTTCTCATAAATACTCGTAGAAAAAATAAGTAAACTTAAGGAAGTAACAAGAATATATTTAAACATGTTTCTGATGTGTCCTGTCCATGGGCTTGGAATGGCCGATTATGGTTTTAACAGAAACCCGACAGGTTAGTAACATAAAACAAATAGCAATAGGAGGGTATGAGACTTACTACAACAACGGGAAAATAAGTACCCATGACGGTGTAGTAGTATTTGTAAAAAAATCGATTAAACATTTAGTAGATATAATAGAGTATGACTGTAATAATAATATATTTAAGATTTTAAGAATAACAGTTAATATTAATGGTAAGGAAGTAGGTATAAGTTGCATATATAATTCTCCAAATTTTAGTAAACATGAATTTGTTGATCTGTTAAACAATTATTTAAATACAAAAGCTTTATTAGAAAGTGAAATTATAGTGGGGGACATCAATATTAATATTTTGGAAAATAAATTTATTTCTACGAAATACAAAAACTTATTATGTAATCATAACTTTAAACCATTTATTAACACACCTACCAGAGTGGAAAAAAATACAGCCACATGTATTGATCACTTTTACGTAAAATCTACAAATAATACTATTAACGCCAAACCGATTGTGTTACAGAATGCTATAACCGATCATTATCCTATAATGTTGTCAGTTGCTTTTATGACTCCTTTTAGGGAAATAAACAATAACAAATTTAAAAAAGAAATAAACTATAATTATTTAAAAGAATTAGTGGAAAATAAAAATTGGGATTTTGTATACCATACAAATTGTTTGAATGAAGCGTTTAACTCATTTATAAAACAGATTAAAGAATGCTTAGATAATGCAACCTCTGTTAAGAAAATTTGTCATAAACTTATTAAACGAAAACCTTGGATAACTCAAGGTTTGGTAAACTCTGTTAATAGAAAACAAAATATGTATAGGAAGCTTAAAAAAAGTAACTTCAACTCGGTTCTAGAAAGAAAATATAAGACTTACAGAAATCAACTTAACAAAACTCTAAAAACAGCAAAAAATGAATATTATAAAACTAAATTCTCAAATTGCGAAGGCAATCCAAAAAAAATTTGGAATTCTTTTAATTTAATCACAAATCGTAATAAAACAAAGACTGAAATTTCAGAATTAAAAATAGACAATAAAATTATTGTTGGTAAAAAGGAAATAGCAAATCAAATGGTAGAATATTTTACAGATATAGCTGCAAAAATGAGAAGCAAAATTCATAATTCGGATTATGACATATACAATATTATTTCAAGAAACAATAATTCTATTTTTCTGTGCCCAGTTACATGTCGGGAAATAGATATCATTTTAAATAAACTAAAAGTCAATAAGTCAACTGGTATAGATTGTATTTCAGCAAAAACCCTAAAAGCTTTATCACATGAAATATCTCTTCCGCTTACATCTTTAATAAATAAATCATTTGAAAAGGGAGTTTTTCCGGAATCATTAAAATGTGCCATTATAAAACCATTGCATAAGGGCGTTGATAAAAAATTGCTAGATAACTATAGACCAGTTTCCATAATAACTATTTTATCCAAAGTTTGGGAAACCTGCATTAAAACAAGACTATTAAGTTTTTTGGAAACATGTAAAATTTTTCATCAAAACCAGTTTGGTTTTCGATCTGGAATAAGTACTAATGATGCAATTGCCTTTTTAACCGATAAAATTTATAAAAGTATGGATTCCTCAAAACTCTCAATGGGAATTTTTCTAGACTTGTCAAAGGCGTTTGATACGATATGTCATACTACCTTGATAAATAAACTGGAAATATATGGAATAAGAGGGATAGCATTGGATCTTTTTAAAAGTTATTTGAAAAATAGAACTCAAATTGTGGAAATTAACGGCACTTTTAGTGATGTCAAAAAAGTTACATCTGGAGTTCCACAGGGTACAATATTAGGTCCGATGTTGTTTCTTTTGTACATCAACGATATTTTTTCAATAAAGGGTGGGCATATCGTGTCATACGCTGATGACACAGTGGTTTATATAGAAGGGATTACCTGGTCAGATATTTATAAACAAGCTTCAAATGTAATGATGGATTTGAAAAATTGGTTAGATGGAAATCTCTTACTTTTAAACATATCAAAAACGAAATTTATATGCTTTACTAATAATATTCGCAAGCAACCTCACATAAATTCTTTTAAAATACATCATTATCAATGTTCCCGTAATAACCATTGTAATTGTGAGTTTACGTTACATAAAGTTAATACCATCAAATACCTGGGTTTATATATAGATGAAAATCTAAAATGGAGTCATCACATAGATGAGGTTTGCAAAAAATTAAGAAAAATTACGTACATGTTTCATATGCTAAAGCATATGGTAGATATAGACACTATCAAATTAATATATTACGCTTTGGTTCAGTCAGTTTTGTGTTATGGATTATTAGCTTGGGGATCAGCATACCAAAATCACATTAATAAAATTGAGATTTTGCAAAAAAATATATTGAAAATTATGTACAAAAAAGAGAGAAGGTTTTCATCTGACCAATTATTCAAAGACTCTAAAGTATTTAATATAAAAGAATTATACATTTTAGAGATATTTAAATACCTCTACAAAAACAAACAAAAAATCATAATTAGCCCCCAACATAAATATTCAACCAGTTCAGCTGTTAATAAAAATTTAATATTACCAAAACGTAAACAAACCATTGGACAAAAAAATTTCACATTTAATTTAATAAATTTGTATAATAAAGTTCCCCGTAACCTAAGAGATAAACTTTCTTTATCATATAGTACTTTTATTAAACATATTAAGTTTTTTTTAAGACATAACTCTACATATTTAATTAATACCCTTTCCTAGAAAATATTATTGTTGATTTCTGCAATCTATTGTAATAAAACGAATATATTTTTTTTTGTATTTTTTTAATACTGTAAACTGTATGTATACATTATGTTAATTTTTTAATATTTTAATTTCTTGACCAAGAAAAGCCGCAATCAAGCAAGACTTTGGCGTTTGTTTTTCTTGGTAAAGTTAATATTTTTTTTGTATTTTTTGCATATAATTAATTTAAATATTTTTTTTGTTTGTAAAATTGGTTGTAAAATAATAAACATCTATCTATCTATCTATCTAATCCGCAAACATCTAATTTAGTCCGCAAAAGTCTGATTCACTCGATTTCACCTGCAAAAATCTGCTTTTATCCGCGAAGATCTGCTTTTATCTGTGAACGTCTGCTTTAATCCGCAAACTTCTGCTTTTATCCGCAAACATCTGCATTTATCCGCCAACGCCTCCTTTAATCCGCAAACAACTGTTTTAATCCGCAAATATATGCTTTTATCCGAAAACATCTGATTTTATCCGCAAACATCGGCTTTTATCCGCAAACATCTGTTTTAATCTCCAAACATCTGCTTTTATCCGAAAACATCTATTTTAATCTGCAAACATCTGCTTTTATCCGCAAATATCTGATGTTATCCGCAAACATCTACATTTATCCATAAACATCTGCTTTTATCCACGAACATCTGCTTTCATCCACAAACATTTGCTTTTATCCGCAAACATCTCATTTTATCCCCAAACATCTGTTTTCATCTGCAAACATATGCTTTTATCCGCAAACATCTGCTTTTATCCGCAAACGTATGCTTTTATCCGCAAACATCTGCTTTTATCCGCAAACATCTGATTTTATACGCAAACATCTGCTTTTATCCGCAAACATCTGATTTTATCCGCAAACATAAGCTTTTATCCGCAAACATCTGATTTTATACGCAAACATCTTCTTTTATCCGCAAACATCTGATTTTATTCACAAACATCTGATTTTATCCGCAAACATCTGATTTTATCCGCAAACATATGCTTTTATCCGCAAACATCTGATTTTATCCGCAAACATCTGCTTTTATCCGCAAACATCTGCTTTTATCAGCAAACATCTGCTTTTATCCGCAAACATCTGCTTTTATCGGCAAACATCTGCTTTTATCCGCCAACATCTGCAAACATCTGCGTTCGGTTTGCCTGCCTTTGTCCATTTCGGTCCTGTTTCGTACGCAAACGTCTGGTTTCATTCGCGCTTTTTGTATTCCTTTTTCTGCTTTGTCAAATTTTACTGAGCTTTAACTAACTGGTTGTTAGCCGTTCACGGCACACAACTTTATAACTCTAAGGAATTATTTGAATAAAAACAACCTGTAAAGGAAATAAGTTTATTGAACTTTAATATTATTTGGTAAAATACAAATAAGGTCTTTGTTAAAAGACATAAATAAACATTTTTTAATCATTAAGCTTACATTTAAATTAATTGTTAGAAAACATATATGTTTAATTTCAAATACATTTGGAATTATAACATCTTCAATTTGTATGGAATTTGTTTGAAAAACACTTATTTCGGCGTAGAATTTTTCATCTAATTTTATAAACTTTTTAATTTGGCATAACCAATATTTTTAATACATACAGGGTGTCCCAGAACTCGCGCCACATAGAAAACCGGAACGTGCCGAAAGTAACGTGAAACACATATTTGAAAATTAAAATTGTCTAACGCAAAGGATAAGCGAGATAAGAATAAAAAACGATAGCCAATCCCAATAGATGGCCATAGGGAATTCTTTAAATTGCTAGGATACTTAGGTTGCATTGTTGATAATAAAAAATATGTAAAATATTTGGTCCACTGTGACACTGCTGTCAAACTCCTGTCATTAATATTATATTAGGTTATAAATTAAGTTATTATAAATAATGTTTTCCTTAGATGATTATACTGAAATGATAATTATTTATTTATTTAGTGTGGGCGCAACGCCAGGGAGACAACGCGAGTTTTTTCCCAGCCTTTCCTAATTATTTTAAAACATTGGCGTTCTGAAGTATAAGTCATAGATTAATAACCTCATTTTTGAAAGCTTTTAAATTTGGCATCTCCATTGCTATCGGCACGCCCCCTTTTTCTCTGTGGCGCGAGTTCTGGAACACCCTGTATGTAAGAATTAATAGACTTATTATTTCTGTGGTACTCTTCACTATAGTATACCTGATTTAAATTGTTAAATTTAAATCTGGTGAATATAATTAAATTATTTTCAACACGCAAATACTTTCAGTTGGCATTAAAACATTCTCGTAGTACTCTAAAATTGATTTAACGCAATTATTTTTTTTAAATATGAGTGGCAGGCTTAAAGTTTTTAAATACTTGTTGGCAATTTGGTGTTGGACATATTTAGGCCCAGTTAAAAGGATTTTTAGTTGTCCAATTTTTCCCTCAAAGGGAAAAGTGGAAAAGGTCCACAATGGGCCCAAACGTCTTACACACTTTCCCAAATGGCTCAATAAGTGAATATTGAAAGATATACTAAAGATAATACTTGTTGGCAATTTGTTGTTGGACATATTTAGGCCCAGTTAAAAGGATTTTTAGTTGTCCAATTTTTCCCTCAAAAAGAAAAGTGGAAAAGGTCTACAATGGGCCCAAACGTCTTACACAATTTCCCAAATGGCTCAATAAGTGAATATTGAAAGACTTATTAGCTGCACCGTACAAATTTTGAAATTCTTCTAAAATCAGGCGTTCGCAGATAAAAGCATGTTTGCGGGTGAAACCGTATGAAAGCAGATGTTCGCGAGTGATTTCAGATGTTCGCGGATAAAAGCAAATGTTTGCGGATCAAAGCAGATGTTTGCGGATAAAAGCAAACGCGGATAAAATGAGATGTTGGCGGATAAAAGCAGATGTTTGCGGGGGTGCACTAACCGGATGAAATCAGGCGTTTGCAGATAAAAGCATGTTTGAGGATAAAACCAGACGTTTGCAGATGAAAGCAGATGATCGCGGGTGATAGCAGATGTTCGCGGGTGATTGCAGATGTTCGCGGGTGATTGCAGATGTTCGCGGATAAAAACAGTTGTTCGCGGGTGACTGCAGATGTGCGCAGATGAAAGCAGATGTTCGCGGATAAAAGCAGATGATGGCGGATAAAATCAGATGTTCGCGAATGATTGCAGATGTTCGCGGATAAAAGCAGATGTTTGCGGGTGAATGCGGGGGTGCACTAACCGGATGATATCAGGCGTTCGCAGATAAAAGCATGTTTGCGGGTGAAACAGTATGAAAGCAGACGTTCGGGGGTAAAAGCAGATGTTCGCGGGTGATTGCAGATGTTCGCGGATAAAAGCAGTTTTTCGCGGGTGATTGCAGATGTTTGCGGATGAAAGCAGATGGTCGCGGATAAAAGCAGATGTTGGCGGATAAAAGCATATGTTGGCGGGTGAAAAAAATTCAGGTAATCGCGGATAAAACCAGACGTAATCAGACGTTTGCAGATGATTCCTGACAAATTCGGATATAAACGAAACACAGTGAAGACGATTAAAAACAGATGATTGCAGATGATTGCGGAGGTGCACTAACCGGACATAAAACACAACCAACCGGGTGTTCGCGGACATAGCGATGCGGACAAAGCAGATGTTATCAGATGATACTTTTACCCACTTTTATCTGCTTTTATCCGGCTTCGACGAAGAATTTATACCCACAATCATCTGCTTTTATACGGTTTTGACGAAGAATTTATATCCGCAATCATCCGTCATTTTCAGCAGGGTAAACCTATTATTAAATTATTAAGAAGAAAACTAATGATAGAAAAAGCAAAATCAAAAGACCAGCCGACCTAATGTTTTTTACTAGCTCTTAAGATCTTATACTACACGGAGAGAAATGTATAGTAAATTTTAGATAGTAAAAAAAATATAGTAATATTTATTTTAACAATTTTTTAGGGTAACAATATTATATATTCGTCAATACAATATTAAGATTGTAATACAAAATACTATTTTTTATTATACAATTTTAGTAAAGATTACAACACAGTAATCTAAATCATAAATGTATAATATATATTTTAATTTTTAATATGTTCGTATAGTAAATTGATTTTACTATCTACAAATAGTAATATTTACTATATGATTTAATCAAATGTAAGGTGTACATCTAATATTATAATATATTACACATTAATAAAAAATATAGTAAAAATAAAGATACTTTTATGTTTAAGGTAAATAAACAATATATTTAAATATAATATACAATATAGTAACTCATGACATTTTAAACATTCAATTTTCTTAGTTTCTTCAATAAACTTTCTTGACCCATTACTGGTAATACTTATAAGAAAGAATTGAACCTACTTGGTTGCATAGTATGTACCGATTGCGGCAAAGGCCACGTCGCGACGCGTCGTTAGACGGTGTGGATCACGTGATGTTCTTACATCTCGCCTCTGTTGGCTTACTAACCATGTTATATAAGCTCAGGTATTTCTTTGTTTTGGGTGTGTTCCACTACTACAAGTTGCTCGACAGTGTCGTGTCGACACTGATGATAAGTTGATGGAACGCACTCAAAACAAAAAAAAAATTGGCGAGGTGTAGGTTCAATTCTTTCTCATAACATTTTTGTATATTAAAAAGTACAATAAATATGTTACAATTTTTAATTGTTAACATTCGATTTTAAAATATTTTATATTTAAAATGGCAACATAATATTTTAAAATTTACTATACTTATTAGTAATGGAAAAAATCTAATTATAATAAGAATTAAAAACAAAATTGGTTGAGAATAATAATATTTTACCTTATGGTTTAACATAATTTGGATATTTAAAAATTACTAAATATGCATAGTATCTGGCAATATACAAGATAGTTGTCCCAAATAGTAATATAAATTATAGTAAAGGGTATTATAATTATGGTAATCAGCATTATACTTTTCTCTCCGTGTAGGTATCAAAACATTTTAAATGGTATCTTCGATATTTATCTCGAGGTAGTAAATAAATGACATAACCTCTGCGATGAAGTCGCTATTCTGATACTTTAGCCGTTTAAAACCTATTTTCAATAGCGGTATTACGGTATTTACAGCAAAATAAATTACGTAACCTCTGCGACTTCATACTCTCCTGATAATTTAAACTGTTTAAAAAAAACTATCTTCAATGTGCCTCGACATGACTTCCCTCTTTAGATCTCCAGGAAATTTAAAAGCGTTTTATATTAAACGTGACACATTAAATGATTCAACTTTTTGGACTTATACCTCGCTAAAAAAGTTTCAATTCAATACCAAACCTTTTGTTTTAGGGTTGGAATGATGTTGGATTTCATGGTTTAAATCAAATACCTACCCCAAATATTGATGCTTTAGCTTATTCTGGATTAATTTTAAACAATTATTATGTAACTCCTATTTGTTCTCCTTCAAGAAGCTCTCTGATGACAGGAAAATACCCTATACATACCGGAATGCAACACTCGGTATTATATGGAGCAGAAGCTAGAGGTTTACCACTGGGCGAAAAGTTATTACCACAGTATTTAAAGGAATTGGGATATACTAACCATATTGTTGGAAAATGGCATCTGGGTTCATATACAAGGAAATATTTACCTTTAAATAGGGGATTTGATTCACATTTAGGTACAATAAGGCAATATTAAATAAAAATAGTCAATTGTGCGACTATGGGATAAAGATATTTCCTCGAGCGCAGAGTTCGCTTGTGCGGTAACACGCTAGTGAAATCTTCTCTTTTAACCAATAGTTGCACACAATATTTTTTATGTGATATTTTATGTCTCAAGCAACTTTAACCTAAATTTTTTCAATTTTAACTTAAAGCCAACTTCAGCGGGTGAGCTAAGTGTTGAATATTAATTTATTGTGCGACTAGTGGAAACTAGTAGAAGAAAGAGAAGATTCCTCGAGCGTTGAGTTTACTACACGAGCGTAGCGAGTGAGGCAATACGCGAGTGTAATCCTCTTCTTTTAACCAATAGTCGCACCCAATATTTTATTCAACAACCACAATAAATTTAAAGCCAATTCTATTTGATATTTTATCTTTACTTTTTTCAAAATTTAACTTAATTTTTTTCTCGTTGTAATAAAAAAAAATATGAACAAATACCTTCATTTTAATTTATAACTGTACATACAATGTTCTCTATTATTTTTATGGCACTAAAATTATGAATTACTGTATATAATTTATAATATTAGGATATTGGACTGGCCATCAAGACTATTTTGATCATACAGCAGTTGAAAAACCTGGTTTTGGTTTGGATATGAGACGTAATATGAATATTGCATACGATTTACATGGACAATATTCAACTGATGTTTTTACCGATGAATCTGTTAAAATAATAAATAATCATAATGGAAGCAATCCACTGTTTTTATATTTAGCACATGCAGCAGTACATTCTGCAAACCCATATAATCCATTACCAGCACCAGACAAGATGGTTGAAAAATTTGACTACATTCAAAATTACGATAGAAGAAAATTTGCAGGTAAAATGTTAAATTTATTTGTTTATATGTGCAAAAAAACAAACATCATAATTGTTTTGATCTCACCCTATCGTTGGGTGATAATGTGTGTAAAAATACTTTGTGCAAAATTTAAATAAAACTCAATAACACTTAAAGTTTGCGCAAGACCATTCAGTTTGGAAGCATTATAGATGGGGCGTTTTGTATTTGTACTTGGCGCTTACAGCGTGCGCAGTCAGTAATTATAATATCAATTTTAGTAGGTGTTCTGTTTTGACAGTGACGGTGACAGTGACGGTGACAGTGAGTGTTAAAAAATAATAACAGCAACTAGAAGTAACACAAGAATATCTTAATTGGGTCCAAGGAAAGTGAAATTTTAGGTAGTAAGCTCACGTTTAATATACAAGTGTTAACTACGTTCTTTAATTATTACATAACACTAAGAAAGACTATTCGTGATAGTTCCCGTGCGGTTATAAAAGAAGTTGAGTCATTTTGGTCAAAAGCCTGTATACCAATTCCAGAAGAGCAACATGCAATAGCGAGGCTAGAAAAACTTCATAAGTTGGAATCTATTAAAAAAGATCTCTAAAAGAAGAAGTGCAACTCAACGTTCGAAAGAACAACATTTTATTGATACATTAGAAGATTTATTTCATGAAAAGCTAAAAAGAGAAAGAAGAAAGCCACCAGCTTAGACGTGACGTAAAGAGCAACTAAAATACACTTATAGTGGTAGTAAGTTTGTCAGTGACGTGTTGAGAATATATAATCTATATCTATATTATAGATAGAGTTGTAAGAGCGATAAAAATTTCTCCATTCCAAGAAACAATAGAAAGTAACAAGAGAAAGAAAGTTTGTGTCACTGGAACCACATCTCTTATCACACCCCAGCTCGCTGCTACGCTTGACAGGGCTAATTTCTGCGAAGGGCGAGGCAAAATGCTCGTGCCGAGATATATACAAATATAAAAAGTAATTTCCAAGCTCAAGGGCCTTTCATAGTGCATTGGGACAAAAAACTACTGCAAGACGTGTCTACAAAAAATGGTGAAACGCCTTCCTGTTATTTTATCTGGACCAGTTATTTTATCTGGACCACACATTAAGGCTATTGGGTGTTCCCAAGCTAATATCAGGAACTGGACAAGCTCAGGCGAACGTTCAGTTGCAGAACTTCTTAATAAATGTTTTTTTTCTGACAAGATTTGGGAAATGTGTTTTGATACGACAGCAAACAATATTGGCACAAAATCTGCAGCCTGTCTCATGCTTAAGAAAAAGTTGGGAAGAACCATATTATTTAAACGGTTTCAGAAATGTTGTTAAAAAATTAACCATAAAAAATATGAGCCTGGTATACAAAATAATAAAATGTGTGCAGCCATCCAGGGTATTTGGAGTTTGCAGAGAAACAAGTTGAGGTAAGTTACCTTATGTTTTAATGGCTATGATGACTTTGCGTTAATTAATCATTCTTAAGGAAGATTACAGATAAATGCTTGAGCTTCATATAATTTTTCTTGGAGGAACCCCTCTCACTGATGTACGATTTCGTTCTACAGGAGCTCTGCATTACACTAGATGGATGGCTAAAACGGCATTTGTTTTATATGACAAAACTCACAAAGTGTGTAAAAGATATTCTTTAACACTATAGAAACAGTTTTGAACAAGTAATTTTTGGGTTTCTTTTCTAAAATAGTTAGGGTGTTCTATGTTTTTTTTTAATATTGGGGTTATTATTAAGTTATTAAACAGCTTTATGCCCAGCGAATCAGGCGCATTTTGACCAATAGTGAGGCGTCTGAAGGGTGTTCGAAGAGCATGGTTGCTCCTGGTGTTAATTTGATGCAGGTATATAAAGGCAAGGCAAGCTTAGAATATTATAGTTACGAAAGTAATCTCTGCATGAAGTGCGGTTTTTTAATTTAGCAATACTTCTTATTATTCTTTTTTGAGCAGTAAAAACCGTGATTGAATGAGATGAGCCTCCCCAAAACATTATACCGTATCGAAATCTTGATTCTGCATAGGCATGGTCAATTTGTATTAAGTATTTTTCATCAACTACATTGAACATTAATGAGATAGAATATAGTTTTTGAGATAATGTTTTACAATGTTATGACCATGTGAGTTTTTCATCAAAAGTTTTACCCAAAACTTACTGTAAGTGCTTAGCAAACTCTATTGGCTCATCATTAATCTTGAGTTTTTCTGATGGTAACAAAGAGTTTGCAGTATGAAAAGAAATTGCGCTGCAGACCATGGTCTTTAAGCTATTTATACAGAGTTGATTTGCAGTGAACCACTGAATTATCTGAGCAATAACCGTTTGGAAGTGAGCTATTAAATTATTTATATCTCCCCTAACTACTGCAGCAGTGTCATCTGCATACAAGTTGACGTAGGGTATTTTATAAACAAGATAAAGAGATTGGTCCTAAAATTGATCCTTGTGAAATACCTATATTTACGTTACATGGATCAGATAAAAAAATTTGTTTCTTTGTATTATTGCCAACGAAATTTATTTCAGTGTACTGCTTATGATTTTTTAGAAAAGAGCATATCCAATCCAGTGAGGTATTGTCAAAACCATAGTAGCTTAGCCGCTCCAGTAGAAGGTCATGATTTATACAATCAAACGCCTTGGTCAAATTGAAAAAGATACCGACAGAGCAATTTTATTTTCTAATGTAAGAATAATATTGTTTAGAACCGTATGAGTTGCTTTGTTAGTGCAATAGTTTTTTCTAAAGCCTTACTGGCTTGCTTACAATATGCTGTGGAGTTTAATAATTAAAATTAATAATTAAGTAATCTAGAAAGAAAAGCTTTTTCAAAGATTTTTGAAAAAGTCGATGTCAATGCAATGGGTCTATAGTTAACTGCAAGTGTTTTAAATTTCTTTTTATGCAATGGCAAACTAGATCAACGGATCTTTGCTGTAAATTTATTTACCCTGACCCAGTCCTTCATATAAACGCAAAGACGCTTCCGTCGTAAATATAATTTGCCAGTGCGCGCTGAAGTCCCATCAAGAAATGCCATTTTGAGATGGGTAAGAGATTTTAACGAAAGAGGCAGTGTAAAATCAAAATTCGCCGGTGGAACTCGTACAGTTCATACACAAGAAAATATTGGGAGAGTCAGAGCGCAGTCCACGACGTTCTGTAGTTTGGTACTCGATTGCTCTACACATTTCACACCGAAGTTTGCGACGAATGTTATATCTGGATTTAAAACTTCATCCGTATAAGATATAGACAGTCCAGAGGTTAAATCCCATTGATAAAGTCAATCGACTCAATTTCTGCACACAATTTTTAGAGACAATGAACAATAATGCATAAATCCTTAATAAACTGATCATGTCTGATGAAGCTCACTTCCATCTCAGCAGGTAAGTCAACAAGCAAAACTTTCGCTATGTTTCCGGGTCATTTAATTTCAAGGTTTCGCGACATTGATTGGCACGCACGATCGCCTGACTTAACGATTCCAGATTTCTTTCTGTGGGGATTCCTTAAGTCAAAGGTATACTCTACCCGTCCACAAAAAATTCTTGAACTAAAAGAGACGATCTACTGAGACGTGTTTTTCTCGCTTTCAGGAACAGATAGCATCAATGCATAGAAGGGATGTAATCTTTGCAAGTTGAAAAATTATGATTCACTTCCAGAATTGTATTCTTAGTTTAAACTACATTTAGTCTAAATATATTCTTTGTTTCCTTAAACTTCCCAATAAACATTTGGACGTAAAACCGACGTCGGCTGGGACGACCCGACGTCGGCAGCCGACGTCATATGACTTACATGACGACCATGATTTGTACCTAAATGGAGCGAACAAATTTGGGTCTTCACGTCGTCGGTTGCTGACTACTGAAGTCGAGATTTTTACCTATTTCGTCATTAGGCTGCACAAACAAATAGTCGTGCGTTAATAAAATAACTTAATCTCTACCAATATTGTAGAAAGACATAGAAATGCAAAAGATGTCGACTTTTTGTGGAATGAACACGTATAACAATGTTTAAATGTATTATTTGACTTTTAACGGGTGATCTATATTGAAATATCCATACGAAAGGCACTTTACTGATAAATATGGTTATGATTGTTGGCAAAAATGCGTGGGCTTCAAAAAATCTTTCAGTTTTGCATATTTAATTATTTTTGCAAAAAAATAAGTTTTAATAAAAATGTGTTTTTTAAACAAAATTTGATGAAGTTCTAAAAAACTAACTTAAAAATCATAAAAAACTTGTTATTTTATTTCAATGAACCGTAAAAATCTAAAAAAAACAAATCTTTTTTTAATGGCGTCCATCGTCACCTCTTGTTTTGTTCACGAAAATGGCGAAGTCAACAAATTAACCAAATTTGTCCACATACCAACCGTCGCACATAGGTAGAATTCGGGGATTTAGGGAGACAAAAAGGGTTTATTTCAAAGTTAATTAATAAGAAAACTAATCCTTTCCGGCAAAAATAGAAAGTCCAAAGAACAATAGACGACCCCTTTCACGGTCCCAGCAGAACATGTGCGTTCCCAATAATCAGTCGAAACTTGATCATCGCGCAAGCTGCTTAAACTCGTTCTCGACACCCTAAAAAACACTATTTTGCAAAGTCATTTTTTAGTGAATGAAAGTTCAATTATTAAGTGAATGTGATGGATATCGACAATTCAGGTATGTTACTTATAATTCTTAAAGAAATACTATAATAAATGTCAATATTTCGCATAATTATAGCCCATTAAAGATACACCCTTTTTTAACATACTTTTTAAATTTTTTTCCTTTTCTAAAGTAAAAATGTTACCTTTCCGGGCCCGTCCGAGTATTTTTTCTTTTTGTAATTGATAAATAATTTATTTAGCTAAAAACTGAGAAAAAATTACGGTCCACTTTGGTCCACTTTGCGAAAAATTCCACTTGAAAGTAATTTGGGCAGAAATCAAGAAATTTATAATTTACGTTAAAAATCTTATAATAGTTATTTACGTGTCAAGCTTTGTAAATGAATCTTTACGGGCGAGCTGGAAGTTTGTGGGGTGAGCGATGCAGGAGCGAACCCTATAATCCAGTGAGCCTATATTAATTGCAAAGCGTGACACGTACAAACTTTTATTTTCACCTTTAGATAACGATTTTTAAATTAAAATTTTATTTGTAGAATCAAAACAATTTTAGAGGCCATCACAAGCGGCATCCAAAAGTTTGATGAGTATGCAATGGAAACGGCAAAACTGTACGTGGATTTGTATGGGTGGCACCGTATGAGCCCCACAATGCATACAATTTTAATACACGGGGCAATAATTTGCGAAAATGCCATTTTACCTATTGGCCAGTTTTCAGAAGAAGCTGCCGAAGCCCGGAATAAGCATTTCCGGTCGTACCGCCTTAACTTTGCCGTAAATTTTCACGTGAAGAATGCAATATAGACATATATCACAGATTACTTATAACATCTGACCCTCTCATCAGTTCTTTGAGAAAAGAAGAAAACAATTACAATATCGTTTTCACAGGAAACTTTACGACTTTTGGTTTCTGCAGAGCCGAACACAGAGGTAGCCTGTGATACATGTATGAAAAGCGATGACGAAGTAATGTGTAACTTTAATCAGTATTTATTATTAAGAATATGATTTTTTTAATTTGTGTTATATATTATGTTTTCAATCATATTTATGACTAATTACTTTTTGTTAAACTTGTTTTAAAATGTAAATTGCATAGTAAGAATTTGGAAATATAATGAATTCCATGTATTTACTACATCTTGTATCATTTACTTCCCTTAAATATTCACTGCTCTGTATCTTAAAAAGTACTGATCCAATTTTGATTAAATTCAGCGTGGACTCATCTAAAAATACGTGCTGTAGATCAATAACAAAAACTTATTAGTCTACGAAAAAACCAGTGAGTTCAACTTTTAAATTTCAAAAAATTTGAAAATTCTACTACGTAAAACCAATATGTCGACGAAACTTGGTAAAAATACCTTTTTCTATTTAGTTTAACCTATTAGACATTTTTTATCATGTCTCCTACTAAAAGAGATAATAAAATAATTTTGGCCGCCTAAGTGACCGAATTCTACCTATGTGCGTCGGTCAATAACAACACCAACTTCCGACGAAGTTTGAGACCTCGAGTCATTTAAACTACCTATTTTTCCTTCGGAACGACCTACCTAACCTGAAAATCATATGTCAAACTGAAAAACTGCGAGCTTTTTTTGTTAGCTAATTCAGTCCAATTTTGGTAATATTATTGTGTGTTGTCTATGCTATTAGCATTTTAAAGCCGTGTATGTTAAGGATTTGGGGGAAGTGGAGCCCGTACGGGCCGTATAAGTGGGAAAAGAAGGGGACACTCTGCATGCACAATAACAAATGATGGTAAAATTACGGATAAAAATATGTAATATTTACATAAAAAATAAACGCATAAATTATTACGGTTATTGAGTGATTTTACCGAATATATTCTGTATAAGTGCAAGGTATTACTAATACCGTATTAGCACAAGGCTATGCAACCTTTAAATTTGCCACGGATGCTGCCAACAATAACTGGTATCTCAGTGTCAGAGACATCAGCATCTGAACAAGAGCAGGAGCCCCCATGAATACTAAAAGAGAGGTGAAACCTTCCCTAAAATATAAAGAGTATGATGATGTACCTTCATATAAATTGGCTAAAGAAAATTTTACACCGAAACTAGCCAAAAAAGTGTGTCAGAAAAAGGCTGACGAAAACACTACAAACATTCTTTTTTTCTTTTCTTTTGGCATTTTTTCTTTGATTTTAATATAGGTTATGTATACTATTTTCTTCTTCTTCTTTCTTCAAGACTATATTCCCGTCGAACAATTCTCGTAATTTTTTTTAACCAAAGTGATAGGTAGTTACGACTTGACGTTCAACCGACGTAAATATAAGTAAAAAAAAATTTACTTAACAAACAAGGAAACAATTTCCACTAGAAAACGTTATCCCAACCAAAACCAACGTTAACCCGACGTCGAACAATGACTTCGGTTACAAAGTTATAACCCAACCGCAATTTTCACTTAAAGCGACGTCGAGCATAGTGCAAGTTTAGTTGGAAGTCAGAAAAATGTTTATTGGGTTGTAATGTTCACTATGTGAATCGGTGAGAATAAGAACAGTAAGTCCAAAAATTTAATTTTGACAAGTCATTTTTTAAAATCAATTTTAAAGTTAAAAAATACATTTTTGTGGGAAGATATAAATCATTTTAAAAATTTTAAAATCATTTTTAAAATATGAATATTATATTTTATAAAATAGTTAAAATATTCTCACAAAAATGCATTTAGAACTATAAAAATGCTTTTTTGAAATATCAAAATTTTAACTTTTGGACTTGTACTGTTCTTATTCTCACCGATTCATGTATTTTCGTAACCCGATCCTTTAAGTATACTGAAATACTTATTTTGGCATATTCGTGATCATCTAGTTAATTTACTTACTTTATAAAAATTAGGACTACACTCGATGATAAAATTATATACATATGCAGACAAACAAAATTAAATGAGTTTAAGTTTTTTTGGCTTTCAAATATCACGGGGACACTGTTTAGCAATTTTTTCAAATCGTTTACGTTTTACAGAGGGAGTGTCTTGAAGAGCATGTGGTACCTTCTGCTCCATTTATAGGACCAAATTTCTTGTTAATGCAAGATAATGCTCCACCGCACACTGCCCGGCTCAGGTGTTGGGGTGGCCACCAAGGAGTCCAATCTACGAAGAAGGATTACACGGAACTATGGCGAGTTTCACACTGTGGTTCAACTAGAACAAGCTCTGTTAAATGAATGGGAGCAGATATCCCAGAATGAGGTTGCTGGGTTAATAGAAAGTATGCCACGACGGATAAGAGCCGTGATTCAAGCTCGAGGAGGAAATACTCACTATTAAAGATTTTTTGAGGCATCTTTTGCAAAAACATTTTTTTCAAATTTTGAATTTTTTTATATTTAATGTAAATTTACAGAAAATTTTTTGTTTTTTTTTTAAATGTTTATTAATTAAGATTTAATTAAAATTATTAAAAATTAAGATATCTGTTATTATATTTTCCTAGAAAACCTAGTGTCCGGTTAATTTTGTTATCGAGTGTATACGTTGTGTTTTTACGTACATTGATAATAACGTTATTTTGAAATTGGTAAGTTTTACTGAAACACAAGTATTTAATCTAAAACCCCTGATTTAATTTAAGCAAAGACAAAGGGGTGGCCCGTTGAGTCAGAGCACAGGAACTTACACATATCAAATAAAAATAAAATACAAAACACAACATAGTCTTATGGGTCATATCACAAGAATACAGTATAAATCATAAGTAAATAAAATAACATGAAAAGCAGATAAACATATTTCATACAATTTGGGTGTTTTTATCAATATTCTAAACATTTTATACTCCGGTAAAGTAGGTATGAGAGATCGTCATTTTATGACGAAGAGTTGTACTATTTGTTTACCTTACCACGCATCTTCGAACTATTGAATCAGGATACGATTTTATATAAATAAACTACGGCAACGTCACATTTCCTATAGAGAGAATTAAAATGTTTTAAAGGGGAGGGGAAACATGAAAAAATATAATGCGCGAATGCGCGATCCCAAGATATTAAACCCAATTAATGAAATAGTGATACAATAAAACTTATTACATATATTAAGATGATTAGTGTATATTAAAATAGTGTTCAGTAAGAAATAAAATTTATTGTTGTGAGTGTTAAGCCTTGATTCACATCCAACGCCACGATACGGACTGGCAAAGACACGACAAAACATTATTTAATTAAATCTAATGAAGATATTTAAATATACAGAGTGTCCCCCTTAAGGTTTGCCCCCTCGTTATTTTCATTATTTTTAGAATATTTTTGTCCATCAAAAACTTTTTTTAAATGAGTTTTTTAAATTTTTTTTATCTCAACAATACCTCTTATGTTTTTTTTAATAGTATGCCCTATATATTTTTTACACTTGGAAATGTGTAATGTTTTTTATCAATCTGATAAAAATGCGACACAACCACCGAACATTCTCTTTGCCGGTAGGTGGCTATTATTTAATAATAATTATTTTAACTAAATGTCTGTCTGTTGGTATGAATATTAAAAAAAAATGGTCATTTCTTAACCTTGCTATTTATTTTTATAAACATAATATTATATCAATACCACTATCACATGCCTAAAAAAAATGATATATACAGGGTGGCTCACAGTTAGAGATGTGTCGGTCAGATCTGAACCGGCTCAGTGAACCGGTGGTATAAGTGATCTACGTGAACCGGTTCACGAAAATTAAACGAACCGGCTCACGGGTCCGAAATTACAAAGCAGAGAACTGTGTTTGGCTAGCGGCCGCGCGCAAGCCGTTCTAAGCTCTGATTCACTGCTTCAGCGCTCGCTATGCTGCTGCAGTGCATTGCACAGGCCGCGCATGGCGAGCCGCTCGGTTCACGTAGATCACTTATACGACCCCGTTCACTGAGCCGGTTCAGATCTGACCGACACATCTTTAACCGTTAGTGTTGCCAGTGGTTGGAAAGATAAAGTACCAAATTCGACTTTTAAAATGTACCAAATTTCACTGAAATGTACTTCTCATTTAAATGCTTTAAACAAATACGTTTTTGGGCTTTTCGTTTTTTCCCCAAAATTAAAGCCCGCTGCACAATAGCCCGGTAACGGGAACGGGAATCTTACCATTAAAGGTGGGAGATACTAAAAATCACTGTTGATAAATAAATCTCTCCCACCTTTATATGAAAATAAAACGAATAAATATAGGCGATTTTAATAACGCTATTGTAAGACCGCGAACTAAGAGAAACAAAGCAGCAACTTTATTAAAAATAGGCAAAATATTAAAAGTATATCAAAATTCAAAAATTTCATGAAAATGTACCAAAATAGTCCTTGTAGTACCTCTGTACCACCAAAGCACCAAATGTACCAAAAAGGTACAAATGTACCACCTCTGGGAACACTGGGCGAGCCGCTCGAGCCGAGAGCGGCGGGTCGCGAGAGATCTGAACCGGCTCCCTGGAGCTAAGAACGACTCGCGCTCGCAGTACGTTTTGTTTTCTGTGATCCAGATCTGACCAAAACATCTCGATTCTCTAGGCGCGGCTCGATCATGACTGTTGTATCATGCAGCTCGCTAGTGCCTATGCCGGTCGGATCGTTCGGGACCGAATTCTTGCGTTTTGTGTTCTGTGACGCGTTACTACGTTAGGCAAATTTATACTTTTGGTAATTTTTTACAAACTCACAGAAATATGAGATGATTTCCCCTATGTCAATGTCGATTAAAATATAATTTTAATATTAATTAATTTAAATTGTGTAACTTTTCATGTAAAATTAAAATAATAGAGTTTTTATTGCTTTATAAAATTTTAATTTAATGCAATACAATGTAATATTAAATAGCCTTTATTATATATATATATATATTTTAGGGTGCTTAAAAAAATTTTTTTTTTCGCTCTTACCCTCTCAAATGTTTTTATTTAATATAAAGAAAATCCTCACCAAATATGGGCGTTCCAGCTCAACTCTAAGAGGTCGCTGTTTTTATTTTAGTTTCTCATTGAATTGACATGGGAAAAAATTAATTTATGTTTGGAATTTTATACCTCTGTATCAAAGTAACTTATGGCAATGATCATTGCAGTTTCTTATATAAAATTTAACGCTCTACAAAAAAGGTTTCTTATTATTTTTCGATAAATTTATTTCTTCTAGAGTTATTCGAGGTCAAAGTTTGATTAACATCAAATTTACTGTTTTTTTTAATTTTATGGTACAATTAGCAGACGGGAGGTGAAAGGGGGCAAAACAATGCAACGGGGGACAAAATGGGATACCCAAAAAATTTCGTGAAAAAATATTTTTTTCAGATTGTTTTTTTCGGTTTCTAAATTATTTGAAAATTGACTCAAAAGTTCACGCTTTTAATCGAAAATAATTATTCTGAGCCTGTAGAGCGAGAAAAAGGATGGTACAAGTTTGGAAAACTTTTCATATGCTCATTTTTTGGGTACCCCCATTTTGCCCCTCCCCCCCGCTGCCTTGTTTTGCCCCCTTTCATCTCCCGTCTGCTAATTATACCATAAAATAAAAAAAAAAAACAGAAAATTTAATGTCAATCAAACTTTGATCTCGAATAACTCTAGAAGAAATCAATTTATCGAAAAATAATAAGATACCTTTTTTGTAGAGCATTAAATTTTATATAAGAAACTGCAATGATCTTTGCCATAAGTTACTTTGATACAGAGGTATAAAATTCCAAACATAAATTAATTTTTTCCCATGTTAATTCAATGGGAAACTAAAATAAAAACAGCGACCTCTTAGAGTTGAGCTGGAACGCCCATATTTGGTGAGGATTTTTTTTATATTAAATAAAAACATTTGAGAGGGTAAGAGTGAAAAAAAATTTTTTTTGAAGCACCCTAATACGAGGGTGGTTCAAATATAAACCGGAATTTTTTAATAAACGGCGCTAAAAATTTAGTATCGTAAAAGTGGCTGCACTGGATGTTAGACTGGCCTGTTACGAAGCGTAGAGAACAGCCGGGGCTGCGTAACCTCGCTTTTCAGTGTAGTTATAGCCATGAGCGAGAAGGATGTACCAGTGTCTGTTGCGCAACGCATCATTATTCGTATTTTGGTCAAAGATAATGTAAAATCCGCGGAAATTTATCAAAAATTACTCGAGCATTTCGGGGATGAGTGCCTCTCCAAGACTCAAGTGTATAAATGGTGTTCCGCTTTGCGAAAAGGCCGAGAAGTGGTGGCAAACTTGCCATATGCGCGGCGCCCCAAAACAAGTGTTACAGATGAGAACGTCAGCGCTGTAGAAAAACTCATTTTGGAAGACCGACGCAGTACTGTACGCGATATGGCTGAAGAATTGGGCATCAGCGTAGGTATTATTGAGCAAATAATTCATAAACGGCTCGGTTACCGCAAAATTTCAGCCAGATGGGTGCCAAGACTTCTGAATTTTGATCAGAAATTCACACGCTGGGAAGTTTGATGAAAACATTAAACGAATTGGGTTGGAAAACACCCTTCTTATAGTCCCGATTTGTCGCCATGCGACTAGTATTTGTTCGGTCCATTGAAAGAGGCACTTGGCGGACTGCGATTCGAAAGCAATGCGGAGGTAAAATACTTCGTGCGCGAATGGTTACGTGACAAGCCGAGAGATTTTTACGAACAAGGCATCCGAAAGCTTCCGGAGAGGTGGCAAAAGTGTGTAGAGTGTGACGAAGACTATCTAGAAAAATTGTAAAAAATTTGAGCTCTGTAACTTAATAATACAAAATTTTATAGCAAAATTCCGGTTTATATTTGAACCACCCTCGTATATATATAATATAATAAAGGCTCCTAATTTAGGAGTCCTAAATATTAAAGTGATAAACATTTTTAACATAAACATAAAGTTTATGTGATCCGAATGATTTCATTAAGTGTTATTTTTAATTAATCTGAGATTCAAACGGTTCTTTTGAACCGGTTCACTTATGTGATCCAGATCCAGTGATCCGGTTCAAAAGAGTGACCCGGAACGCCCATCACTACTCACGGTGGGTTAGAATGCTACTTTTCTGGTCAAAACTAATTTCTGACCTTAATAATTGACCTAAATCCTTGTTTTTTTTCATTTTATTCAGAAATAAATATGTATCGAGAAACATAATTTCTGTTTATTATATATATTTTGTTTTATAAGGCGTTAAACTTAAAAAATTACATTTTAATATTCCACTTTGTGGAAAAATAATTATTTTGCTCTTATTAATAAACGTAAAACCTTGGTTTTTATTTGTTTTATTAATAAATAAATTGGCTTTGCTGTGAAAAAGACTAAAATAGTTTATGTCTATTAGATATTTTTCTATGGAGCGAAATTAATTATAGTTTTTAGAAAAACAATTCCTCTGCTCTTAATATATATTTTTATTTACTCCCATTGCATAATATTGTTTTTTTTGTTGAATAATAAACATTGTAAATTTCCCAATCGGGTTTTAAATTGGGAAAAGGCAACTATATCAACATTTAAAACTGGTAAAAACTGAGGTTAACCATTTGACAGGTGTAAGATTTATTTATTTTTGAAAATCATTTAATTACCTACTTATTAGAGTAGATAAAGTATAGTATTATACTCGAGATAATGCGCATTATTTACCTCTCGCCTGGTGACACCTCATCCCCTATATACATATAAATAATATACAAAAAAAAGTACATTAATAATAAGGATAAGGATATTATATATATAAACTATTTTTACCCCAAAGTAGTAAAATGGAAAGGATTACAAAAAGCTACATGATTTGGTGAAAGAAACTAATGATTTATTTAAAACGAAGAAAATGTTAGTAACAAAATTTATTATTAAATGATTTTATATGTTATATTAAAAATTAATAATAAGAAGTAACAGCGCCTGAAAGGCAGAGAAAATTTCGTTCAAATCTAAAATCTTAATTTTTTTCGTATTGCTCTACTTTCTTTACTTTCTTTCGGAATCTTACAATAATAATGGACTTTTGGCCAGGCCCAGCCCACCGTGTGGCGCACCGAAAACTTTCCACCCAGGATTTCTTTCTTGTAAATGAATAAATGGAACTAAGCTCAGACACGTAAACTGTAAACAGTTTACGTGTCTGAGCGTAGTTTCATCTATTCATTTACAAGAAAGAAATCCTGCATGGAAAGTTTTCAGTGCGCCACCTTGTATATTTAATAAAGAATACTACAGTGTGTTTTTATTATAAATGCTTTTTTAGCAATGCTTAGTAAACTTGATGATTCAGTTGGAAATGTAGTGAAAGCATTAGGTAAAACCAATATGCTCGAAAACAGCATAATTGTATTTACCACAGACAATGGCGGGCCAGCGGCTGGATTTAATTTAAATGCAGCTTCAAATTATCCATTAAGAGGTGTTAAAAATACACTCTGGGAAGGTGGCATAAGAGGTGCTGCGTGTTTATGGAGTCCGCTGTTAAAGAAAAATAAACGAGTATCTCAACAAAGAATGCATATATCTGATTGGTTGCCAACACTTTTAGAAGCTATAGGAGATGATATTAGGTAAAATATTTTTATTAATATCTATATTTACGGATTGCTATGATGGGCATAAGGTGGGTTGAGTAAACGGCAGTAACCATGTGCGCATAAATTTAAACGTAACCTTGGCAATATTAGCACTATAGCCAAAAATCATGATCGTCTAATTAAAACAGAATAAGAAACCTACTTTGTGACATTTGAATTTGCTGTTAGATATCAAGAATGCTAGTGATGAAATTATTTAAAGTAATAGAACACAAAAAGGATTGTTGTAATATTTCTATACGTTGTATTTAAACAATATAGTTTTTACAATGATTTTTACTAATGTTTTGGGTTTATAAATCCACATTCAATTCACTTTCATACCGCAAAGCTCCTTTAGCATAATTCATGCTACATAACTAACTAAATAAATGAAATAGTCATTTACATTCGAGTTCAAGCAAGCAGGAGACGCGGACGCTGAATTAAGTAGGTAGTGTTTGTCTATATACTTGGTTTTTGTTTTTAAGCCAAATATTTTGATAAGTTTTGGTTATAGTGCACGAGGTTAGTGATTTAGTTAGTTAGTGGTTATTCAATGCATGTCGTTTGAACCATTTTCGTTATGCTAAAAACAGCTCTTTATGATCCTGTGAACTGCTTCTGTGAAATCTGCGGATTAGGAGACTATATCCTTTAGACCCATGATGTCAAAGTAGGGCGAAGAGTTTTCCACAAGACGAATAACGTACATATTGTAATATATTGGTTGTATCTATGGAAGGTAACCCGACCCATAGGCTCGTACTATTGTGTACCCCTAATAGGTTATACTCCAAAATTAGCGAAGCGAAAGATCACTTTGGTGATAAAAATTTCACATCCCACCGTCATTTAATAATACCGAAAAGTTGTATTCTCTAAAGTATGTGGTGGAAAATTTCAATAGAGAAAGATTTGCGGCATTGTCGTATTTTGAATCTAATCAAATTCGTTTGCAAGTGCCCGAGTAAAAAATTTTGGTTAAAATAACATCAATATAATATCATTGATATTATTATGATATTATTGATATTATGATATTTGATATCAAATTGATTATCATTTTTATGTTTGAATAATGTCGTAGGGATGTCAAAATGTAACGCTTTTGTACGGTTATAATGTCATAATAATGTCAATGTGATGTTAATAATATATCATAATAGTTTCATATTGATATGGGTTAACCCTTTATCTCACTTTGGTACACATATGTACAATATTGTTATATTGATGTATTTTTATTTATGTAATTTTTTAGGATGTATTTTTATATAGGAAAAGCTTTGTTCGCAAATCACTTTCAAACAAACTCCAGTTTAAAATAATTTAAAAGAATTTAAACTGCAGTTAAGAAATTTTTTAAGATTTTTCCAAACTGATTCGAAAGTGATCCGCGAATAAAGCTATTACTATATAAAAATACATTAAAAAATAACATCATAAAAATTATGAATTAACTGTAATAATAAAAATTAAAACATATTTATTTATTTAAGAAAAAATACATTAATCTAGAAGGTATATGAACATTATTCAATTATACATCAAACAAATAAAATGTCCTTACATTATTCAAAGAAAATACCTATAATATTTTATAAATAAAAAATAATATTTTATACATAACATTTTTTTATAGGGAAAGGAAAATCTTTCATAAGACACCCAGTATCAGATTCTTACCGACTAAACCCCTCCCCTGAGGGTCAAGCACTTTGCACCGTTATCCGCTCTCGCGTTCATTGCAAAGTCTGTCTATTTTTAAACTAATTTATAAAGCTTACTCTTTCTTTCTTTGGTCTTGATTATGCCTCTAACTATTTGGTACACATTATTCCAAGACTCATCCGACTCTAATATACTTCCCATCATATTGGTTGCATAAAAACTCATTCCGCTTTGACGCAGGAACAAATTTCTAGCTTCTTATCATCTGGAGCATAAGAGTGTGTACTCTGCGTCGTCGTCTTGGCCGCCGTACGTACATGGTGTATCTGATCTTCTTCGCTGGTAAAGGTATTTGCGAAAACACCCGTGATAAGAAAGCGCCTGTAATCGGTTTCTCCTATGTTCTTTCAACCAAAACATGGAGTTCTGGTATTAAATCTAGCGGTTTTATGAACACCCGCCCCTTAAGCAGATATTGTACGATGGGCAGTGCAAATCCTAATGCATATAGTTCCTTAAAGTCGGGTGAGCTTTAGGGCTAATCTTTTATTTTCAGTGACTTTCTGCCAGATTGACGTTGCATATAGAATCTGACTATGGGTCACACTCGACATAATTTTGCTCTTGGAAGCTCTGGGTATTCCAATGTTTCGCATAATACGCACCATGGTTTTCCCAGCTTTCTTAACATTTTGATCAATATGTACAGGAAAACTTAACTTGGTGTACAGCCACACTCCCAGGTATTTTAAAAAATCGACAGGCCTTATTGTCGTGCGACCAACACTGAAAGGTACATGACCTATTTTTTTACTTTACTAGGAGAAAACCCTCGGTCTTTTCTGGTGCTAACTGCAGCTGTTTATCCTCCAGACAGTTTTCTACCAGTTGCAGTCCTGATTCAACAACGTTTATTAAAGCATATTTTGTTTTGGTAGTGACTACCATTGCCACGTTGTCTGCAAAGCCCACGAGCTTAACTTCTTCACGCATTTCTGTTTCAAGAAGACCACCATATAGAATGTTTCATAGAGTTGGTCCCAGTACAGATTCTTGTTGGAACGCCACTGTTTACTTCGAAAAACTTCAAGTTGTCTTTCGCCTCTAACAAAGCCTTTCTGTTTAAAAGGTTTATGGCAATAATACTTAGCAAACTGTCGTTGATTACTTTTAAACTTAGTTCCTCCAGTATGTGCTGCAAGAATGCACTGTTAAATGAATAAGGTAAGGTGGGGTAATTGCGATATGTTTTTGTACTAGTTGGCATTGTCTCTTGAATTAAAGGTAAGGAGTGATAAAACTAAACCAAACCCAAAGCTCATTATATAGCCCAACTATTCAAGAATTATATTCTAAAGTATAAATCGTTAAGAACTAAAGGCTAAAAAATTACATCTTTTTTTATAAACGTTCCTAACATATTGCATTTGCCCCGAAAAATGGGGCAATTGTGTTAGCGGCTGATTACATTACACTATTAATGTATTTGTAGTGGGTATGGTGTAAAATCGTGTAAATACGTTAATAATCATAAGGTGTGCAAACTTTTTTTTATTTTTTATTTAAGGAAAAAACGATTTATTATTAAGTACTTAAGTAACCAAGTGGTACTGCGCAGTAGTTGTCGGGATTTCTCTACTTAGATATGCAACCCAAGACAACAGCGTGCGTTTTTATTCGTTTGCTTTTATTTACTACTACAAGTAAGAATTTTATCGCAAGATGTTACATTTACCCCAATCATACAATTACCCCACCTTACCTTATCTAAAGTTAAGCATGTGCATAGTCTCCAATGATAATAGGAGGATGCCGCTGCTTCGTTGTCTATCCCAAGTACCTCACATATGGCGTCTATGGTCCTTTTGCCCTTTATAAATTCATATTGCCTATTTGATAAGCCTCCAGTGCGCTGTATATCAATATTTATTCTTCCCAGGATAAGCTGTTCAAAAAGTTTTTCTTTTACGTCAAGAAGGCAGACTCAAGGGGTTTATTTCCTTTTCTTAATAGTACGATTCTTGCTTGTTTCTACTTTTGAAAAATATTTGAGGATATTGCTAGCTCGTTGTAAACTTCTAGAAGATAGCCTGGCTTTTTTCAGCTAAAGCCTTTATTATTTCTGGCGGTATACAGACTGTATAGAATCAAGTAAGTAAGGCTGGAGACAAGGATGACAAATTATATTCTGATCAGAGAAAAATAAACAAACTTTAATTGGGCGTGGTTTAAACCAAGCCATTCGTAATTACGAACCATAGTTGCCAGGTTGTTTTAAATGAGAAGAGAACGATTATAATTATTTAATAAATAGTTCAACTTTATTTGTTTGAAACTTTAAAAATAACAAAAAAATTAATAATACGTCAAAAATAATTTGATTTAGTTAATATTCTTACTTTTAATATTAAAAAATAAGAAAAACAACTCTTTTAGGAAACAATAATAGCATATGGAAACAGCGCGGCATGCAGCCAGATGTTGTGTGTTTGTTCAGTAGCTCCGACGCTGTCGTAGGAAAATGTGTATAGTTTTTAAGAAATACATTTTAAACAATACTTAGTTTTTATTTGCAGAAATGCATTAAAACAAAACAAACGAATTCGATAAAAAATAAAACCTATAAATTCTCAAACAAAAATAATTCTAAAATAACGAAAATAACTTTTTTCTAAATTAAATGTTCAAATAGACCACCAGCAGCAGTTAAACAATACCCTAGCCTAGCATAAAAATTCCTGCGCACGTTAAACAGCATTTCAGGACTAATATCTCCCAATGTGTTAAAGATTCAATCCCCCCCACAGTGGGCAAGGTTTGGCACTTGTTTTATTTAAGTGTATCTATTCGTTTTAATACACACTGTATATCCAGGTCCTGGTGCTTTGCCATTTTTAAGCATACTTGCTGCCTTTAGCTTTTGCTTGACTATATCTTCCATGGTATCCATTGTCAGATTTAATCGGGGTGGGAAACAAGACATACCTTTCATGGCGATATTATAGCCATTGCCCCATATATCACTGCCCACTTGATCATGTCCCGTAATCTTGTTTTGGTTTATTTATAAGCTTTCCATAGAATTTGGTTTTCTAAAGGAGGATTTCTTGTTTGGCTCCTGGTGTATATTCTTCTTTTTCTTATAAAGTATTTTTTTTCTGAAATTTCTTCATTTCACCAGTATACAGGTTAACTTTTTTTAACTTATTTTTGTTTTGAAAGGCTCGTTACGCTTTTTAAGTCTATAACTCCTTTTATGGCACTATTAAGCTTATTTATATCAATTTTTGTAGTATTCCAACCCTTAGGTTTGCTTTTTGGGCT